GACCGTGAAAAATTTTCAGAGTTTTATTCGTTACGTTTTGATCAAGTTTTCAAGTGATAAATGATCTAATTCTAGGTGTGCATTTTAATAACCATTTTAATAGAGATTATTGACAATATCTCAGACAAAAAAACTGAAATTTTAATATTTTTTCATTTTTAAACTTAAGACTTTCATTAAAAACCGCTTTGATATTTCGACACACGAGGATTTCGGCTTTCTCTAGAAATTTTTTGTTAATTTTTTTACTCAATGATAAACTAATTACAAGTACTTTTAACAAGTCAATTTAACACGGGAAGTATAGGGGAGCGCGGTTTGTTGTTCCTCCAGGCAAATCAGCCGGTCGGTAAAGGGACTAATTTGTGACAATTTGAATACGCCCTATAAATATAGCCCAAGCTAGAAGCATTTAAAATCGACAAAATTTCGATGAAATTTTTTGTTGTTTATTATAAAAGTACCTACCACGTATCCCGGTGGATTTAAGGTGGAGAAGCAGGAAAAATGGCTCCTCCATGGCGGAGGAGCAGTGGAGGAGCAGTGAGGAGCAGTGGAATTTTTGAGTAGCAGATAGAAATTAATAAATTAAAAAAGGTCAAAAGCGTGCGAAAATCATTTAAAAATCACGTGAAATTCACGTTTTTGATTATTCACATCACAAGTGTTCGCAGTTTAGTTAGTGCTCATTATTTATAATTGGCACTAGCAGCAGCAGCAGCAGCGAAAAAACAAGCACATCAAGTGCTCCCCCGTAACTCATAATGTACATAAATATTATACATTGTATGCAAGGGTGTGTGGACTTGAGGGAGAATTCAATTGAGTGTTGTTATAACAAATAACGAATCGCCGCGCTGCAAAATTAATGTAACATAAATGTAAAATCAAAGTGTGCGATTCACAAAATCATTTTATCGATTAACTTCCACTTTCAGGTATATATGGTTAATTCTCCTGAAGTTTGCTTTTTCGAGTATAGAAAATGAAAAAATGGTGAAAATTTTTTTGTTACATTGAACGGCGCGAACTAGTTTACTTTTTCTTAAACCATAAAATATGAATAATTATTGAATCTGGGGCATTGAGATTTCGTTTTACGAAAACTATGTCCGATTTCATGCTTGAAATTGATTATTTTTGGTTATTGAGGTGACACACAGAGGCTACTAATCGCTGCTTTGATCTACTAACAAGGAGAGCTCTCCAAGTTCGGGTCACCGAATGCCCTGAAAATTTTTTTGTGATTTCCTAGTACATGATGATGATCCCCTATATAGTTAATTTGATCCAATAATTTAACAATACTTTTACGCATGGTCAAGATTTGAATATTATTCAACGATAATAAATACCATATAATAGCCTATCATGGTATCAGGCTTAAAACAGTCAATTCCAACTGACTGAACAGCATTGTTACTTTGTGTTTTGCAAATTTTCAAACACTTATTCAAAAAATAAATTCTCTAGCTCAATTGGTATACAATGCAAGTCTCAAAGAGCGAACCAATTTGAGCTAAAATTAAAGTACTTTACTATAAGTATTGATGCAAAAGATTGGAATAAAACTTTTATATTATTAAACTCACTGTTCCTTCTTTTTCATCCATTTTTGACACTTCATTGATTATATTTTAAGTGCCAGATTACCTCATCAATGATGCTGGAAGTCGCCAATGATAAAGATAAATAAATAATGTGATTTGGCGATGATACAATCAGTTATGCTTCTTTTTCTTTTCCCCAATAACTTAAAATATAATCAATGAAGTGTCAAAAATGGATGAAAAAGAAGGAACAGTGAGTTTAATAATACAAAAGTTTTATTTCAATCTTTTGCATCAATACTTATAGTAAAGTACTTTAATTTTAGCTCAAATTGGTTCGCTCTTTGATACTTGCATAGTATACCAATTGAGCTACTGTGTTTATTTTTTGAATAACTGTTTAAAAACTTGAAAAACACAAAGTAACAATGCTGTTCAGTTAGTTGGAATTGACTGTTTTAAGCCTGATACCATGATAGGCTATTATATGGTATTTATTATCGTTGAATAATATTCAAATCTTGACCATGCGTAAAAGTATTGTTATAGGGCCCATTGGATCAAACTAACTGTACGGGGGATCATCATCATGTACTAAGAGATCACAAAAAATTTTTCAGGGCATTCGGTGACCCGGACGTGGAGAGCTCTCCTTGCTAAGTGCATTATTGATCGAGTTATTCCATTTGTTAATTAAAAATATTTTTCTGCCCTCAAGCTGTGCTTGCAACTACAGGCATGATACGGACACGATCGAGCGACAGCTCAAATGAAAGATGACGACTTGTATTTTTGTAAACAAATAGGGTATTTGTATAAAAAAAAGTAATGATATTTTTTAAATCAACGTATATGAATTATCAATGCATATTTTTTTTTAATTTTTCATTGCGTTTTTACTTAAAAATTTATCGTTTCAAAAAATACAACTTTTCAAACGGCCGAAAACGCGCTGAAAGCGCCCGAAGCTGTGCGAGCGGACCGTGACGTCATACTTATCAGTTGACGCATATATATAGGTATACAAATTACATACAGCAGCCGACTGAGGTTATAAGTATGACGTCACAGTTATGCGGACCAATCAAAATCGTTTGTGGAGTTCAAAATAATTTTCGAATTTTTTTGATTTTTATTCTCGTATTAAAAATTACCTGACTGTTCAAAATTGTTTATTTTTTTACTCCCACATTCTTTGATACGTATATTTTACTATAACGTAATTATTTCAATGATTTTTTTTTCATGCAAATACCCTATTCAACCATAACATTTTATTGCTATTTTATCGCATACAAATGAACGCAAAATACCCCCTCCAAAAAGTTTATAAACAAATGAACCTGGACGATTAAATAAATGTCGCATACGAATAAAAATTTAGAAAATGGAAAGCTGACATCATTCCGCAGATTTAAAAAAAAAGCACTCTCCTAAGTGCAATAGTGAGCGAGTTAATTTTTTTTTTCAAAAAATCACTGTGGCCTTAATTATTTATAATAAGAGCCGAAATTTTGTCACATATTAAATGAAAAGTTAAAGTTTCATATAGAATCAATTGCAACTATCAAATGTGTCAAGTTTGAACCAGTTTATATTTTTTATTAATTTAAACATAAAGGCTAGATTACTTCGTTTTTTAACAATATCTAATCTAACTAGATCTAAAAACCTGCATAATTTATAATTTACAATATTCAACTGCTGTTGCTCTGAGTTTGCGTTTATGGATTTATACAAAAAAATACAAAATATAAAATCACAGACATAAGAAACTCAGTATACTTATTATTACAATGACGCAGCGAATCCACTACATTACTTAAAAAATAACAGTAGGTTTGATCTATGCAAGTGCAATTTATTTATAATACTCAAAACAAAAACTTATTTTTGTGCGACCCCAACCTAAAGTAACATTTTACTCCCGCTGAGCAAAACCAAAATGTTACTTTATGCTGGGGGATTCACAAAAAATTGTATTTGCACCTGCCTTATGTTAAGAAACAAAAATAATAAGAAACCATTACTTTCAAATAATACCAATTCATATTACTATTACAAAAGACCTACTCTTTCTGTACTGTACTGGCTGAATTGAAGAATTTGAGCGTTGAAAAGAATTTTATGAATAGAAATATCGTTAGAAAGAAGTATGAATTACAACGTAATTTAAGATGGATGTGTGGGACATTACACTGTGAATAAATACAAATGTTTATAGAAGTATGATTTAATTTTGGTACCAAGATTCAATGAATCTGACTTTAATTTATTTCATCATATGGAATACAAGAATCCGCGATTTGTGAACACTTAATGATTTAATAACCATAAATCTAACAAGAATCGTGTAACAATAAATAATTTATTCTCAATAATTATGGAATTGAATAAATTTGAGCTTCTGCTTAGCTGGTTAATAACATGTTTACATACAAAAATTCATCAACATTCATTTACAGCGTTGTAAACGCATCACAATTTTTTTACAACAAAAATTAGTCCAAGTGAAATTCAAAATTTTATGCAGAACAAAATATTTGAACACTGTATTGACAATGAATTCATTAACTTTCAACTCGAAATAGCACAATTAACGAAAAAATAAACTCTGATTTCGATCACATTTTTCTAATTATTGGGCATCAATCACTAGCCACTTGACAATGCAAAACTTAAAGTAATGCAACTTTTTTTTATATAGCGCACACAAGAGACATCAGTTTTAGAGAAAAGAATAAATACAGTCTTGAGACTAATGGCAGTGTATACTGCCCATAATTTGACTTAACAAATTGAATTCACTATTTTTCACTCATATCAACATTCACACTATCGTTATCTTTAAAGAAAACACTTGACTAGGGTGCGCAATATGCGCAGCTCAATGTCTCTCTCATTTATTTGTTTTTTACCTTCATCTTTCAAAATCATTCATACCTAATTCTGAGTAATATTTATAAAATATATTTTTTCAATAATAATCATTCAACGAGTTCAAGCAATCATTACTACAACATCGTTGTCCTGGTGAATTGCATTCAAACGTTTTTTGTAGCAGTCAATTTTTTGGACAAATATCAACGCACGAATGTTCACAGTTAATCAATTATTTTTTGATATCACTGAATGAAAGATACTAAGCAATAATGAATTACACTATAGAATTATCACTTCTCAGAATCCTTCGAAAAATTATAAATATTTTTGGAATATACGCATTTCCTGGAATCTTTAATAGCAAACATATTCCTAATCAATGATCATTATAACATTTGCGCACATTTTAATTTTAACAAATTTTTCCCAAAATAGCAACCACCATTTTTTCGTTAAATGATTAACATAATCAAATTATAAATTTATAAATAAAAAAATGTTACCGTTATCTTCTATTGTTTGTGCCAAATATAAATTTGGACTGAAGATTAATAATTCCTAATGTTTCGAACATTCTTTATACATAACAAAAATTATAAAAAGTAAGCAATCGACTTTCGAAAACTTATGAACAAAGGAAGCACGAGCAAATAATTTGCCTTAATGATTTATATATAACCTATTGGCACTCGGTTATAATGCGTATGAATCACAGTAAGAGCTAAACTTAATATATCTATTCGCAATTAAATTTATTGCGCAGCACATAACTTAATTAAGTGTATGAGCTTATATATTTATATGAATATATTTTTACGAGCCACGATTATTCGATTATGACTTAAACAAGTTTATACAAAAGCGAAAATCCCCAGCGAATTTAGAAATTATTAATGATGCACCTACAAAAAATACTTTTCTCGAATTTTTCGCAATGAAAAAAAATCCAGATCTTTTCGTTCGATTAGACTGCCTATGGTATATGAATGAATTCGAGATCGTATTGGCTCCAAAAGCCTTGCACATCGTAACAGTGTAAATAATGAAAAATAACAACATTCTTCAATATATATGGTATTAAATGCTGAATTTTTCTTGAACTGTTCCATTGAAGTAATCAATATTCTCATGACACTTTGGAATAGACTAACACATTTTAAATTTGGTATGAATATAATCACCATGAAGAATGAATAGCAGCCAAGTGACGAAGCGTAGCATGAACGGTTCGTCAATCGCATAAAATGTACAATTCCGCAGTATAAAACACTACGGCATTTGATTTTCGAAAAACTATTAAAGTCTTACATTTTTCGCATGAAGTTCGGTTTTCGCGTCGAAATTCATTCTAAAACAAACTAATTTTTTGCAAGTTCCAGATCAATATCGGCATACTCCTTAACGATTTTGTAAACGTAAAGTAATCGCTCGTGAAGCTCAGCCGAGCAGCCGTGATCCCGTAAATCATTTAACCAGTAAGTAGAAGCGCGACGTTCGCCATCAATATAGGTAACAAGATAGTTGCCATCTCCGCATACGAGGTTTGGATCTTGCGAAACTATGAGTTTACGATGATCTTCGAGGAAATTCATTTGCAGCAGCGGCTGGCTCAGTTCTAACACGATTACTTTATTGGTCCGCAACCACCGATTGAGTTGAGGAACGGTGCTATGCTTCAGTGCACGCCGAGCTGCACTTTGACCGTCAGCTCGATTATCTGACACAATACCTCCTGTAACATAGTTTTGAAAAAAATTGTATTAGTTGAATAATTTAATGAAGTTTATGTTGAAAATTATTTGTTGATTGAACTTTGTTTTTATATTTTTGAAAGAAAGTAAGAATATTATAATCATGTAAAGTGAATTTTCGAGTTTCTTGAAAAATAAAATTTGTATAGATGAATTATTTATTGAACTGACCTTCGGTAAGATGTTTATCCATATAATCGGTAAAGTTATGCAGTAAATCAAGCTTCTCTTGTAAATGTGCAGGAACATTGTGTTCTCGATTATATTTTGTTACTTCGTTATCTACATTTACATATTCCACTCCCCTAAATAATCAATAAAAGATCAATGAAAACCTATTTTTGAGAAAAAAAATAAGTGTTTTGAGAGCATTGCGTTAGCTACCTTCTATCGTAAGTGTAGCTCATCTTCGAACCATCATTGAAGAGTGCTCCAACCGATCTATCGGACAATTGAAAGGCAAGGCCACATTTGTTGGAATAGTCGATCCACTTGGTGACGAAGAGAGGCGAGTAATTCTCAATCGGCGCCGGGTTACAACGGACTGCCTTTTTGGCCAAGCATTCCTCCAAAGCTCGGCTCATCAAATAGTTCTGAGAGACGCAGGTTGCGACATTGGGAGCTCCAAGCGCCTCCTCGTTGAGGACTGCTTGTTTTTTGCGCGCTTCGAGGCACAACACGCTGCTGATTCGCTGTCGAAAGCGTGGCAGCTTTGGAAGGCGCCAACTGGCCAGCCAACTCGACACCTTCTTTCTGCTGCCTTTGTTCTTTTTCGCGTCTTTGGCCGAAGCTTGTCCATTTTGCTCTCCGTTGGCCTGCAATGTCAACGACAAACAATAGAAATAATCGATACAGGATTGCTATAGTAAACAAATTTTGGATACAGCAGGTGACGTACATTGCAGTGTAAATTGGCGCTGTTGCTCATCGAAGGTCGCTCGAGGAAGGGTAAACGCGGAGACGTGTAGCAGCAGCTGTCGGGCAGACTGCTGGGCGAGTACTCCTGGCTGAGGTACGGATGCTGCTTGACGAGCTCGAGCGACGGTCTGAGCTGGGGATTGGGCTGGAGCAACCAGCGAACGAGATCCTGTCCAGCCCTCGTGGCTATCGTGTCGTCGAGCTCGCGGTACCGATGGTTGCATATGCGCGAGTACGTTTCCTTGAGCGTGGCAGAGTCGAAGGGTGGCTGGCCCACCAGCAGAGTGTACAAGTTGCAGCCCAATGCCCAGACGTCGGCTTCGTAACTGTAGGACTGCTTGAACAGCACTTCCGGCGCTATGAAGTTTGGTGTACCGCATATTGTTCTGCGCAAATGAAAACAATTTATACTTTATTAAAATATTGCAATCAAAAATGAATTTCATTTTCTATCCATTATGATCTTTATAAAATTCTTCGAAATTTTTTTTAAAATGGAGGATTGATCCTCGGTTGCAATGTATTTGATACGCAACAAAAACCGTTTTTAAACTAATGAGAAAAAAAAGCAATATTAAAAATGTAGGTATGTTGCTGTAACGCATGGGCAGCAGGAGACAGAGTAACGACGCGATTTTTTATGGCTTTTTCACATTTACGAGGCAACGATACTATGCAGAAAAAATCTGCGACTCGTAATGTAAAATCTGCACTCGAGTCGGAAGGATGCATCGAGCCAACGACCCGGGACTGTATTTTATTCGCGCCGCATATATCTGTATCAGCTGTAACACGCATTGCAGTATTTGCACTCGAGGATTCTTACAGTTATGAAAACTCGTTGCTTCGCTGCACCGGATCATTATGCAAGTCAAGAAAGAGAGAGAGAGAGAGAGAGAAAAGGGGGGATCGGCGATCTAACGTGCAACGGCTCGTGTCACGCACTGCAGGTATAGCGTATAGATAAACGTCTGGAATGCAAATACCATCAATGGGCATTGAAATGTAGTTTATACACACATGACATCACTTCTGTGGGGGGATTGTCGTCATCGATTGCAGCCACCGATGTCTCAACTCGAAGCCGAGGAAAAAAGAAAATACCTCCGCGGAGTAGTGCAGGCGTAGGTGCCGCGCACAAGATGATATTATGTGCCGAGCGATCGAGAGCTCGTCGGATCGTCCAATGTCATAATTACGCGAGCAAGCCCCCCGCTCGCGATGCAGGTACTAGTTTTATTAATATCACCCAGCCTCTCGCTAGCGTACGTGCGCGAGCAGCTGCCTCATATTATATACAGTTTCCATCGAGCTAATCAATCTCTATACACTCTGCAGCTAGTTCAACTTGAATAATCGCGTCAAACGCATTCTTGCGGAACTTCGATATCGATTTTATAGTATCGAAACTGATTTGAATAACTTTTTCATAGTGTTTTTTTTCAATAAAACGAGACGTGTAGCTCGCAGGAATTCTATTGTAACATATTGGTTTCTTTTCAAAGTTGGAGTTTTAAAATATATTTCATGAAATGTTGAACTATTTTTGAGAACAAAGAAAGCAGCAAGGTGCTAGGGATTTATAAAACAAAATTGTGCCAGTTATTCTCGTAGATTTTTAATCGAAAATTCCATTAAATAAAGCTGACGGGGAAGAAAGAAACCTGTTTCACCGCAATCGCGCAGCGTACATAATTTGTAGACGCGAAACAAAAGAAATGCACGAGTCGCGTTGCACATACGCGCACACATAGCGGTGCAATGAATTGAACAAACCGCGATACTATAGTAATGACTGCCGTTCTTTATTCGCGAGCGAGTTAATAAACAAATATTCCTCGAAGCTCGGTTGAAAATGACGAAATATAAGGCGCGAGGTGCTAATGATTCTCGGGCATAAAGCAAAAGGTGGGACAAAGATTATATACTCACACTCGGCGCTGTCCATCGGGTTGAGTAGCCAAGCCAAAGTCGCCAATCTTAACGATCATGCGCTCGGACAGGAACATGTTGCCCGGTTTCAGGTCCCTGTGTATGATTTTGCGCGAATGAATGTACGAGACGCCGTCGACCAGTTGTTTCATGTAGTAACGAGCCTCCGGCTCTGTCACTTTTCCTCGATACTTAAGCACGTGAACCAGACTCTGAAACATTATTTCGTTGACATTTAAATGATTAGATGTTTAATCTTGTATTTATTTGGTTTTCAACCAAATTTTTCAGCCAAACCAAACCAAGTTTTTTGAGTTTAAATACTGCTTGTCCTGATTTTTTATTATTATTCACTACGATTCTTGTGCAAAAGTCAATCGAAATAAGGTAGGATTAATTATTGTCTCGAACTTGGACAAAAAGTAAGTTATAGAAAATGTCTACAAAGCCCACACTTTGTTTGATTTGCATAGAAGATTTAGCACACGCGCAGTGGCATATTATCGAGTGATTCTCACAGTCCTAACGAGCGATCGAGTGCACGCACTGTTTTATAAACGCTTTCCCATTGCATAATAGGTCGAGCTGCGAACAGCTCACAAAGCAAATCCGCGCTTTATTCGACGCGAGGCGCGTTGCAGACTTCTAAGCTGCGTATACCTATATGTGTATTCGACGCATACGTGCGTGAGTGTGACTCACGGCTCCGTTATTTTCAACAAAACTAACGCATAGATAAAAGTACGAAACAACGGCGAAATTTATCTGCCCGCGAACGAGAATCAATCGCGTCGTATTTATAGTTACAAATCTTTCGTAAGCTCTCTATCTCTCTCTGCGACTCTTTTGCGTGCAGGATGATTTTGTCGATTGGAAAGCTCCGAAATAATCGAGCGATCCAAAAATAAGAGCGAGGAGCAAAAAAAACGCCCGCGATAAGCTTATTTTTAGTGGAGGAACGGAATTAGTTCAGGGATGCGCCATAATTGTTAGCAAAGTGATAGAAGTACAAGGTGAGCAACAATGTAATGCAGCGAGCGGAGTCTTAGCTGCTTTATAGCGTGCGCGGTGTTGTGTGCAGCCATGCGCTCGTAACTATAGCAGCGCGATAGTACCGAGCTGGCAGCAGTTGCAATGATCGGTCTAGGGCAGATTACCATTTATGAAAAAAAATGCACCGATATTTATGTATTTTTCATGCACATAAGCATCGCGCGAATGCATTTGCAAGTAAAGTCAAACGGAGCAAGTGTTAGCCGGCTCGTAGCTGCTACTTTTTGGCGTAGCCGTTAATCACCTGCTTTAAATACGACGAGCTATACGAGATAGAAAGAGAGAGAGTATAAACAATATTTCAAGAAGCGCTTATGACGTACGAATGTATCGAAATTTATGGGATCTTTGCTCCAAGTTGTGCCGACAGTTGTAACGGCCAACACGTGTGGTGGCGCGCGTACATAATACACAGCAGACTTGCAGTACCTATTTTCTTTGTTATTCTTAGCGTTTCACGCGCGCGCGCGTAATACGTATGATAATTCAAGCAGTAAAAGAAACGAGGAAGCGTCTGAAGCTTTTTCTACTCCGTTTATTACTAACTCTGCCCGCTAATACTCGAAGAATGCCAAGTGCAAGCTTTGTATGCAAAAGCGAGCGGTTATATACCATCGAGTTTAAATTTGTTTAAATAGCCTACAAATAACATACTCAGCTCCTATGAGTATGAATATTATATCGTCTCGGAGTCTTTGGGCTTTAATGGCGTGTAACGTACACAAGCCAAGCGGTTCGTATTTATTTTAATCCAAAGTTGGTCGGACGTTGAGTCGATTGAAGTTTGCTCGGTCATAGAGAAGTTTCGACGGGGTTTTATTTGCGAAATTCAACTCGGTGCGGTGGTTCGCCTGTAATGGGCAGTACTTATAGGCGCTGTACGAGTCGGCGTTACAGGCAGCTGCGTCCTATTTAACTATATCGCATCGATGAAAAAGTTTCTCGCGCCGTCGTCGTCTTATGTAAGAGAGACGACGTACGAGACGCGACGCCGATCAAAAGTCGTCATAGGCGTCGACGATCGAGTGGCAATGCACGCGTGTCGCGTCGCGCGCTTGAGGCCGAGCTGCTTATACCTATCTATATCGTATATATACGCGCGCAGAGAAGCGGCGACCGCAGGTATAAAAATATCAGCTACTTGGCCGTGGAATAAAACACGTAGGTATAGCTGCAGCACTAGAGCCACAACTACGCACACGTATATGATGGACGAGTATACGGCATTGCTTGGCTAACGGAAGCAGCCCTCCCCGTAACGAGCCTGCGTGGAATCGAGAAAAGGATTCATCAAAGCAGGTGTAGGCTGTAGTCAGTTCGCGCGAGTATTCAATGCGAGCATAATTCAGAGGCTGGTTCTTCGTTGCCAGCGCGATGCCTGCTGCCGCTCGGAAAAGATTAGAATTGCCCCCGCACGCACTGCGCGAGACTTGATAAGCGCACGGAGGAACGCCTGCATAGCTCCGCGAAGCACGCACGAGCGCAAACTCGGCGCAAATTAAGCCATGTACCGCGATCTACTCCGTGCACGACCTCGTTTTCTTCCTTTTCTTCATCATCTGCTATTATTCGCTTGGCCTTTCAAGCTCCGTGCATGCAGGCCCAAGGTCGTATAAGAATTCGCGAGCATCAATTTTTTCCGGCTACTTGATAGTGATAAAAAAAATTTTCTTGATATTTTTTCAGCCGTAATAAAAACTAATAATTTTTTTTTGGAAGCGTGTAACCGAATGACACCGGTAAGCATTACCGCGAGTTTTCGACGCGACTTCCGCTCAATACGAGTGATTCCAATGTAAAATAACACGAATAAGAGAATACTTTACTATACTTCAAAAGTTGATTATACAGGTAAGAAAGCGTTTGATAATAGTGCATACGAAGCTGCATACGAAGATAATATAGATTTTTGTCAGGAAGTGGTTTCTGGACTATTACCGCACGAGCCCATAAGCCGGCGCGCGCTTGTATAGGCTGCATAGTAAAAGCCATGTACGAGGTTTTTTGTGGTTTCCCTTTCATTGTTTGTATAGTGTATCAACCGTCCGCACACGTGTCGGCAAAAATGCAGCAAATTACTCGGAACTTCGAAAGTGCTACAACATACTGCGCATAAGATATGTGTTTATCCGGGCTAAGCTAGCTTTCTTATTATTTTTTCGACTGATTTGGAAATAATACTCGCAATCAACGGACAGCGATCAAAATGTACAAGTTATTTCTAACAAGTAGCGATTATTTTGGTAAAATCAAACTATTATACATACCTTTTTCGGGCAGGCTTCCAGCAGCATGTAGACGTTCAAACTATCCTCGAAATAATGATGCATTTGCACGACGTTTACGTGATTCAGCTGCTTGTGAATCATGATCTCGCGAATGATCTGTCGAGCAACAGGCAAAAGTCGTTACAAATATTTCTTTCGGATGCAATTATTTTATAGCAAAAGCTAACACGTTTGTAATGTCAATGTTTACACACGTGCTGTGTAATAATGATAATAATGACTAAACTTGCAGCCTTACCTTTTGTTTATGAATTTTTTGTACGATTTGATGCTTTGGTATGATTTTGCACGCGTATTGCTTTCTAGTTGTGATGTCGGTGATGAGATACACTTTTGCGAATCCACCCTGCAACAAATTAAGTAATACATTTTTGAAATAAAATCACCTTAACTTCGCGTTAACGTAAAGAGAACCCCATTTGTGCATGATTCATTACTACTGATAATTATGCGGGACATATCAAGGGTTCAAGTTAACGTTCAACAATGCTTTCAAATGCAAATCTAGAGAGACAAATTATTTGAATTTCAAGATGTTTACATATAAATATCCTTGAATTACTCTAATCGTCGGTTAATACTGAACATGGTGCACAACTCTCATTTTCGTCCACATGCAGTACCGCCAGAAATCTATATTTATTTGTGCGATACGTATGGAACGGAAATACCCGTACGAAAATACTCCGTTGAAATTTTATGAATTTAGCATCCACACGAAACAAGCGAGTCACATTTGAAATCTACCGCGACAACTAAAAGCCCGCATTTCGGCTGCCAGCTTCGTAATAACTCATCGCTACTATTCAATGAGTTAATCAATTCTGAGAGGCTTTTTCGACAGGGGAGATATCTTCGAAAAAAATCCCACTTAGCTGATGTTATAAATGAAACAGAAAAAAACAAAAAGGAATAATATTCTAATTGTACCAATAAGTCACACATAGATTTTCATTATAATCAATTTACCTCGTTTTCTCTGAACTCAATTATTTTTTATCATGAAGAAACGACGGAAACTGAGAAAAAATGTTCATAGAATATTTGCCAACAATTATTTTCTAGATCGTGAAAAATTTCAATGCGTACAAAATGCGTAATTTCATTTTGGCAATCCCTTCGAGGCCAGGGAAAAAGTCAGAGCAAGGCGATTCGTCAATTTTTTTTTTTGAAATACTCGTCTGCGCTATAGCGTTACGAACGGACACCGTCGCGGGACGTTCGCCAAGAGGTCAAAAATAAATATTTTATGTCCTCCGAAGTTAATGTCTGCATGAATGAGAAATATATATTTTGTGCACATAGTGTATCCGTAGGTTCAGCGTTGCTGCCTTTCATCCAATCTTAAATTGCCGTGAAGCTTCACAACCACTAGCTTTAATTTGGGTTTTATTTTCGTACTTTATCAGCAATCAAAAGCCAGTCAAGCATGTAGTAAAGCTACCTGCTATGGATCTTCAAGAAATTCTTCCCATATTTTGAAGACCGCCGACAATAACGAGTTGACTAAAAATATCACAACTAAATTTTGCAAAGTTTTTTTTTCATGAACGTACGAGTCATCGAGCTTTTTAATCTGTATCAATGAACTATTTTGTCAAATGTTTATTTTTAGTTCTACATTTGTGCGCATTGTATAATTGAATGTTTACTTATTCAAAATTGATAATCAACAATAATTAATTAAAATCATTTATAATAATTTGATAACGGCCTTGAGCTACTGAATTGATTAATGAAAACTTTCAAAAATTTGTATACAATATTTCATGTAATCTGAGTCAAGATTCGCTGGTTTTTAAAATTAAAAATGTTGTGACGATGAAAAATGTATAGTTGAGAACAGGCCTAACTGCTGATAATACCCTGTACGAGTACTACTACTTATATTTAAAAAATTTTTAGAAGGGTCATAATTCATGGACCGAATTTGATAATAAAAAATTGGACAGCGCTGACTTACCTTGCCCAATAGATGACCCTTGAAGTATGCATTTCCTTTCTTGGAATCAACCACATAGCCTTCCTCGGATTCGGTGGCAATCGATTCGTTCCAAGACGAAGCCGAGGGCTGAGCACAGACCAAGGCCGGCGTCGTAGCTGGTGGTGGTGTGATTCGGTTTTGCACGGCCGCACTGCGTTGCCTGAAAACACTGCCACTACTGGTCGAGCCGCCTCCAGCAGCAGCTAGTCGGGCGCCCGAGGATGATACGTCGACGTAAGCTCCGGAACTCGGAGTCGAAGAAGAAGAAGCACTGCTCGGACTGCCAACTGGACTGCTTATTTTCTATTCAATCAATTAATATACATTGATCATTTATTTTTGTTTTATTTAGTGCATTCTATACTAGCTTTAAAAAAACCGACTAACAAAAATTTAATAAAACCCATTTCAATACAATAGATTTGGCTGTTTCGTCTTTTTATAATCTAAAGTAAATTAATGACTGTTGTTTGCATATTCATAATTAGATACTAATCTACTCTATGTCAAATATTCTAAAGTTTATATACAAATATTACGAAAGTCTATTTTTGACGACACAAGAATATACGAAATATTTGATCACGATAGGCAGACTCTCTATCATCATCGCGATCGACTTTGTTATTATTCAACATAATAGCTCGAAAGTTCAAAGACATTATCGTGAAAATAAAAAGTTAGAAAGTCGAGGTAAGAAATTCGATGTTATTTACCTGCTGATAATCGTGATAATGTCGACGGCGCCGCTGCTGCTGAGGGGGCATCTGTTGCGTCACGACGGGCTGATAATTGCTGCAGGGCGAGGTGGGCTGCGTGGGCGGTTTGCTGCTCGGATAGCCCGGATGCGACGAGTACGACGTCTCCGAGGAGCCGTAGCCGATGCTGCCGGTCTCGGTGCAATCGCTACGTTGTCGGGATCCGGGATTCAGGTAGCCAACGCCGCCACCGCTGCTACTGCTGTTGATCGACGTCGGACTTGACTTTTTCGCAGGGGGAGGATCGACCGTCAGCCGCAGGGATAGAACCCCTCGACAATCTGAAAAATTATCAGACATCGTTGTAGGCGATTTTCGACTCGAAAAAGAGTATACGCAGATAATTGTATTGGGTAATGCGATACGAGGGTCCTTTTACTCGGAAATTTATCGAATGTATTTGACACTTGGGTACTCTTTCCGTCGAGTGTCGAACGTACTCGTTAATGAATGTTTCCGCGAAGGCACGCTAAGAGCACCGATAAGAGTGTTTGACCTTTTTTATCGGATACACCTTTATTTGCAGCTCCAAGTATCAATTGGTTATTCGGTTTGGTACATGGGTGCTGTTATATATACGTATGCACAGAAAATATACGTCCGATCACGTGTAATACTCTAATGCTTAATGCATTAAATAGATAACAACGGGGTGGATGTACGGACCTAAGCTTCCTAGTCTATAAGCAGCTTTCGAATTAAAGATAACAAACATCGACATCCGATTGTAATGTCCGTATAGTATTTGGCGAATACACGACTTTGACAATCGAATTTGAATGATTTAGATAAGCCGTGTAACAGCGGAGGCACTAATGTATCGGCAAAATCGTGAAAGCGGAGATGATGCGTCAAAGTATGTCACGCGGAGGCGAAATCAAAATTCGATAGTGTTTAAAATAATCTCGGCGGCTCCGACAACACGGCGACGAATCCGTTTTGTCGGAGGGATCGGATAAGCAGTGCTGCGTGCGTCCGTATCGATACACGTTTGTTTTGACCGTAGTGAGTATTATAATACGCTAAGTGTACACGCTGCGTGAGTATACAAACACAAATCAGGACGGAAGTGACGAGAGAGAGAGTGAGACAGATTGCGGAGAGTCGGCCGAGGTCTGATTCTCTCTCTCTCTCTCTCGCTCTTTGGTCTCAACCCTTTGTGCATCGAGAGACGAGGCTCTAATACCTCGGCGCGTTTTATTTTTAGGCCAAATCTCGCGCGGTACTTCCGTTGCTGCTTCTGCGGAAAATCATGTATAGGCCTTCGCGCAAAAGCCTGTCTCCGCATCCGATCCCGAGACGATGCGTCCGTGTGTATATATTTAAATCGACTCCGCGCGACCAAACTACTTTAGCACTTGTGTGTGTGTATAAGCTCTCGACGTCGGAAGACAAGTGTTGCTTTGGGGAGAGAAGCGAGTCGCGCTGCGCCGAGGGTGTAATTCGATACAGCACTCGGACGAAGCTCGCTGGAAGATTATTGCCTTCGAACAAGTTGACGAGTAAATTTGTTACAAGTCCGAAAATACGAATTCGCGTGCAAGTTTTTTGCATGCGATTAAAGGGCATCCGGGCGCAAAAAGTAGCACGAGCATCGATGGAAAGCGGCACTGATCTATGTACACGAGCAGTGTGATTTGGCGAGACAGGTCGAGTACGCTGGCGCGACAACATCAACAAGCGTTATAGTTCGACGCGACGAGAGCATATGTGTGGCCCGCAATCGAGTATAATTACGCGCGAGTGGCGACGGAGCCACGGTGTACATATAGGCACGAATTAAGTACAATGAAAACACAACTGAGCAGCGAGAAGAGAAACAATAATAGTACAGTAGCTGGCGTAAGAGTTACCTGAAATTCTCGCTAGATTAGGCGACAGAGCTACGTCGGCGCACATGATGGCTTTTGTGTGTGTTTTTTCTTGTTGTTAATTGCAACCAAATCCAAGAGAGCACCAACGGCAATAATTATGTGGCGCTGATCGCTCCAATGATCGACTCGGTGCACACTATATACCACTCGACGATTCTCACTCGACACTCGCGCGCACACTCACACGCACGCACACACGATTCAAACAAAGCTAGGATAATATACAGCACGAAGAACGAACTTGGCACTTTGGCAGCGCACGCATGCAGCCCTCGGATATTCTGGCGTTGACGTTGCACTGCGCTGCACTGCTGCTGCTGCTGCTGCTGTGCCGTCTGGTCGGTTGGCCTGTGTGACGATCAAGCTCGTCGCGGCCGTGCCACTGTCATATCGGAGCGCTGCAGCTGCTATATCGATCCGCAAGCTCTCTCTCTCTCTCTCTCTTTCTCTCTCGCTCGCTGGCGCGTCGCTGCTATAATCACGAATCCGATGCTAGATGCTCCGTATACTCCGTACAGCGTATGCGAGTCTGGCAGTTGCGCGCGCTTATAGCTGTACTGATGCTGCTGCTATCGCTCGAGAGGCTGCTGCTTTATTGTTTTTCCTATTCCCTTTATGCCCTTTATGCTGGTCTATTCTAGGCCTCGATTTATCGGCTACGCGACGACCTTCCTCTTTCATTCGAAGGCCATTGCTGCGGACACTGGCTGGTGTGCTCGAGCTGCTTTTGTACCGCTGCGCTCGAGTACGAGACCGTGGATGCTCTCCCGAAAGAGCATAGAACTTCTCCTCTGCTCGTCCTCTTCCTTCGAGAGCTATTGTGCGCGATGCTGTGCAGCTATCGGGCGAGCACGTGTCTCTCTTTCTCTCTCACAGCAGCAGCGTCCCCAGTTCGACGGAGGCTCGAGTCGTGCAGGAGCGTGAGAACTCGGCGAGTCTGAAATTGAATCGCAGGCGCAGGTGCAGCCAGCGAGCAATACGCATACACGCGCACGCATATATAGCTGAAACATACACAGTGTATATACAGGAGTAAAAGAGAGGAGCACAGTGCGGCGGCTGCACGGCCAATAACAAAGTTGCTCCTGTCAGCTCTCACGGACTCATCTCGCTTTTTTTCTGCCTCGCTCCCTCGCAGCTCGCTCGCACGCTCCTTCCTTCTACTACTTCTTCTTCTTCCTTTTATTGTGCTCCTTTTTCTCTCACGTGTGCAGGGGCATTATTGCTCGGGCACAAACACGCACGGCCACGCACAGACACGCTAATCTTCGGCTAATGTCTAAGCCTGCTCCGGATCTATCTTCGGCACTTTCTCGCTGTCACTGCGCACTGTTTCGCTACTAAGACAACGCCACCCTGCGTGAGCGACTCCTCGGGTTTCGAGTTGCCAAAATTTCGACAAAAATCACTCTTATACCGTAGAATCGAAGGCGTCCGCGAAACGAGAGCTTTAAAGCAGTTTCCTCGGAACAAGTGGTGTACGTCCAGCGATGACGACACGAGCTACCCTATAAAGTCGTTGAAGGATCGACGCCGATAAATTCAAGTTTGCACGCGAGGGTCGATCGGAGCGCGTGTGCGTTGTGCTGTTATATAGGTGAGCCGCGTATTATACTTGCAGCGCAGCGCGTCGGCTCGGACTTGGGACTGCGCGAGCGAGCACCGAGAGCCAGTGCCGAACTGCCAAGCTTCTGCAGCGTCTGCTCTCGAGTAGCCTATAATACACACACGGAGAGCGAGAGAGAGAGACACACACACACACACACACACTCGCTCGCGTAATAATAATATACATAGGTATAGAGCTATGTATGTGTGTGTGTATGCGTGCCCATGCTTGGCATGCCATTGCCGACGATATAGTCGCACGCGCAGAGTATCCCTTCCACTTGCGGAGCGAGTTCGCCCGTCAGCCCCTCACCTCCGCGTCTTCCGAGTCTTACGCTCGATTCCTCGTATATAACATAGCGCAGCGCGCACGCACACACATATATAAACACGTATATATATTTGCCATAGGATTTACACCCTATAGAGTATCGCTACTCGCTCCTATCAGGTGGAACTCCCTTTTCATTGCTGAATAAACGTAATATAAAATTCGTATATATTCGAGTGACGACTATCTAATACGTTAAATCACACAATTAAGCTAATTTACACGAACTGTTGCTTCATCATTGACGAGCGCAGCAATCGTCGCGAGGTAACTCACCTTTGACGAATGGATCGAATCATTGGTATATCTATACTGTGGCGTTCGAGCCGTTGAAAATTTTACGTACATTAGAATTTTACGAGAGAAACTGTTTACACAGGATAAATGCTCTAGTTACCGACAAACCTCCACCCTCTGTTTTTTTCATGCATTAACATTTTCTCCCCTATTTTGAATATCATATTTTCAGAGAAAATTCATAACTTATAAATTATCAAATCTTTTTTTTCGAATGAATCGCCTTGATCTGAGACTGGGTTATTCGATAAAAAAAGCCCATTCAGTTTTCCAACGCCTGAAACAAACCTCAATAATTTTTATTTAAAAATTGTAATTCAATGTTTAAAATAGGCGAAAAATTCTGTATATACATTTCAATATACGTATGTTCATTTACAATGCTTTCAGTTCTCGAAAATAAAAATATAACCGAATTCTAAGTTCATTTTCAATAGGGTAGTCGAAAAGTGTAACGTTTTATTTTTTTGTTATTGTTCAATACTTTCTTGAAAAATTTCAGCAAAAAGTATATTTAGAAAAAATGTAACGTTATGGGTAATTTTTATTAGCGAGCAAATTGAGAAATTTTCTCAAGTGGTAGAAAACTGGCACGTTCACCCTAATTGTCGTGTCCACGCGTGCACGACCTAATATGTAAGTCATCTTGATTCTGGCACTTGAATATATATACGAAAAATGTGGAGTTGCAAGGTGTATATGCAACGGACGCGTAGCAGCGAAATATATGTGGCAAAAGGTCAGAAAAGTGGGCTAAGGTGATTCCGCATGGTCTGCGAACAAGGGGTTGCTGCGGCCATATAGCTATATATCGCTGGCGCCGCTGCGCGTTTATTGATGTTTTTCGAGCCTACGCTTGTGTAGGTATATATGATACGCGCGATGATGGCCTTGCCGCGAAGTTGCCGCTGCTGCACGCCGACCTACTGCCGAGTGCCGCGCCGATTCCATCCGACCAAAGCCAGACTTTTATTTATCTCGCGCTCCAAAGACTTTTTGACGCGCAACACCTATCTTGCATCGGCTAATGTCGCGTGTCGATCGACTGTCTTGATTCCTCGATTTATCCAATGCAATCGATCCCTCTATTTGTCTTCGCGCAGCTGCTGTATTCGTACCAGTTCTGAATGTCAAAGCAATTTTCTCCACACTTCCGATCCGAAACGATTACGATGCTTTGCGTGATTTAAATTTTGTTCGCGATGAATAAACGATCGCCTGTCGCGGAGAATTTCAAAAATTTCAAATCACATAACTGCTTACCTCATTAGCTCGAGAGCGTCTACATGTCTTTTGCGAAGAAAAAAAACTGCGTTTGCTTCATAGTACAGTATGCTGTTGAAATCGTCTTTTATATATTATTTAAATATTCAGAGAAATTATCGACTTACCGCATTCTCGAGCATAAAAGTATCTCAAGTTTAGAAATCATGCAACCTACGGCAAATACACGTTTTGCGTTTAACTTTGACGAAGAAGCCTTGGTACAACTTCGATCCAAAGTGCTAATTGCACAAAAACTAATTCTAATCCTGCTTTGAGTTACTTGCTTTGAATTTATGTGTAAAACTAGCCAGCAACCAATTTATGAAGCTGCTAAATCAAATTGAATCACATCAGCTGACATTTAATAAAATTGAGAATCACATTTTTTCATTCATTGACCCAAAAATGATATTGATAAGAAAATTATCCAATTCAATAAGTTGGTAGTGAAATTGAAATAGTAATTGAATTATCGATAAACGAATTTTTCGATTATGCCAAACGAGTGGATATTCTTTATTATGTCAATAATTAATTCACTCGTTTCAAAAATAGCCAATAAAAGTATTCAATGTCCTTTAGAGTATTAAACTAAAAAGGTTAATCTTTGAATAAAAATTTAACGAGCGCTGATTTGATGAGTTTTCTTTATAATTTGATACACGAGCAATATTTCCATGCACTTTAATTTACGCGATTGATATTATTTTCCGGCAAAGTTCATAATTGTATAGCAAGTGCAACAAGATTAGTTGAAAAATGTTTCGATTGCGATGTGCATTCGGAATAGCCGAATGAATTAAAGAATCAGCGAGAGATTTCATCGACTAGCTCGGATTGAGAATATTCTAAAACCAAAGCAGCAGCTGCGCCGATTGAATAGGGACAAAGGTTGAGATTGTTTTGAAGTCGAAAAGCTGCATTGCTGCAGTGTAAATACGCAATCAGTTGGCCGATGCATACATAGATGTATATAGAGAGAGAGAGACCTAGTCGGGCGCAGTTTACGCTGGGTGCGTATTAACCTGTCTCGGGTCGAGTGCTGAATACATAACCGGTTACGTCCGGTGTGAGTAACCGCGAGTCGAGTCGAGTCCGAGCGACGATCGGTCGATGCAGTGCAGAGCACTCGGATGCACGCACGGCCACATGGGACTGCAAATCGCTCCTCGAGGCTCTCTCACTGCTGCTCACGTGACTTTCCGCGACTCGATCGCCTCGTGCCAATATATACGAAGACGCCTTCCAAGCGATTCGACGTCGCAATTTTATACGTCTCCCTTGTACATATAGACGAAGGCGAATGAAAAAAAGAATTTCAAATAAATATAAATAACGAATCAGCGCGCCAAAGTGTAGTACCGTAATAATAATGTATGCGTATATCGAGAGAGTACACATACACTCGGTACTCGACACATGCCGCGATATTACACATCCGTCTCTGGTCGTTAAGCGTCGAAACTGGTTTTGCTCGCGGCTCCTACACGGCTCGAGCTCAAGAATCTCTCTAGATAGGCCGGATTGGTTACTTTTTACAACTGAGATTCTGCAAAGTCTCGGCCGATCGATACGCAAAATACTACTGTAGTTTCTCGAGCGAATATTAGCCAAGTTCAAGGCGACGGGACTGATCCAACAGTATAGAGCCTCGTGTATCGAATCGGCATTTTTGAGCGTTTCCATCGGCGATTGACAGAGTTCAATCATCGAGCTACAATTCATTGCGGCAACATAATTTATAAGTTGAACGATTTATGTAACGGAAGAAAATGTAACTTCTGCTTGGATTACGAATGATAATACATACGAAAAATGAATAGATGCTGTTTTATAGCTATATGTCAATATTCGATCTATCAATTCCAAAAGATAAGCGATGTGGCTCTTATCTTCGAAACAAGCGCAATCAGCGACGATGTCGATGTAGAACGACAGAGAAAAGTACTACAATTATCCTCGAGCTCATTGTGAAAGTTGCATTTTCCGTGTAAAAAGTGCGCCATGAAATATTGAATGAAAATCACCAAATCGACCGACCAAGCGTGTCTTTTAAAAGTTGCTTTGCAGGATTCGAGCGCCAAGTACTGATTCGGAATGCCACGATACGATTATACGAGACCTCGCGAACGGCAAAGTGAAAAAGCGACGCATAGGACGCTCGTTTAAGATTGATTGAAAAATCATAAAAGCGTATATACATACGAAGCGCGGCTGTGCGAACATGTGCTGCGCGCGCGACGCCCGATGCAGCTTCATACTTTCTTGCGCACACGCGCCACTGCCCAAATACATAAATTACATATTTAAGCGCGTGGGACGCTGGAAAAATAAAGTCCTGCTCTCTTGCTCGCTCGAGCTTGAAGTAATCCAAAAACGCGCTCGAACACACATTGTGCGCCCCGATCGTGCGAAGTAATGGGCGTCGAATCCTCCTAAGTTAGTCCTATATATATGTGTATAAAAGCGTCAAATCCCGCACACATTTTTTTCCTTCGCATATAGGCAATGCGTGAGAATCGAGCAAAAGACCTTCGTATTGCGGGCTCGACTTCGCATACAGCTTGTACGCGTACCGACGTATTACGCCGAGCATGATGTAGCCTGAAATGAGTAATTGCGCCACGTCCTCGCTCCGGACAATTATGTATCTGGCATTATTTCGGATTAGAAGGCAAATCAACAACAAAAATTTTTCTTGAGAAATAAATAAAAGCCACTTTGGAGCGACACACGGCAATGACGATTAATAATTGAAGATGGAAATCATATGATTTCAGGGTGAATTTAAGATATGTTTGTAAAAAAGAAGTATTGAAATAAAAGGAATTTCCGTAACAATAAATAACTTAGAATTTATAGGAAAATCGTGAAAATTGAAGCCAAACGCATATTTTCATTTTACGCAATTTTGATTTTGAAGTTCCCGAATTCCAAAAAAAAATTGAACTCCGAAATTCATGTGATCCTCTTTGTAAAGTACTGCTGAAAGGACACACAAGATTGCTTTTATGTTATTGTTTTATTCGCTCAATAGATATTTCCAACGCCTCTCTTTGTCCTTTATTTTTATGACGTATTCAGCCACGTCTATTACAGAAAACGATTTCGATAAAATTTCTTGCAACAAACACGTGTATTGAATGCATCAATGAAAGTTTATGTCCGTACATATTGATTATTTGAATAGAGAGAAACAGTGGCGATGTCGACGGCTGCGACAAACGCTACTTGCTATATCTCATTTCCAAACAAATGCCCCTCTTAGGATATCTTTGTTTTTTTTTATCTTCTTTCTGCTTTGTGTAAACGTGCCGCGATACACAAGAAAAAAAAACGTGTGCTCGCTCGTAGGAGCGACTTCACACAACAGACTTTTGCGAAGAAAGAACTCGCACTATGCACAGTAAAATTGACTGATCTTTCCGCTTAGCTTTCCGGACTTATTACTCAATAAAATGTATTTGAATTTATCGAAACTCATCCCATGACTCAGTGTTATGGCGATCAAATTTTATTCTTCCTTACAATCAAATTCTTTATGTAAAAAAGAAAATTTTCTATTTTGAATGAAATTATCTAACGCATGCTATTTACTATGCTATGCGACGACGTAAGAGTGAATACTAAAATCAATTTAAATAAATAAAGCACCAAACTAATACAAACAATAATTCATAAGAGTAACGAAGAGAAAATGATGAAAAGGAGTCAAGTTAGTCGAGTGAAACTAGCTATAAGGCACAAAGACTACAGCAATCCTGCTGTAGAAGCATATCGGAGGCGATATCCGTGCGCAAAACTCGCTCCTCCTTCGAATTGGTTTACAAATAGTGAGAATAGGATTGTACCGGAGCTGCGGAATTTGCTTGACTCACGCGCCCATACGCAAGAGAGGGTTGGGTTGCGACGCGATAAGCCTTACACAGGAAATACCTTACGGCTTCTTCTTCTACTTCTTCTTCTCTTCTTCTTCTTCTTTGTTTTCCCCTTCCCGTGCCCATATACTGCACTTTTATATTCTCTGCCTCCTGCTCCTGCTGCCTCCGCGATTTTTTCCAAAAGTTTTTTCTGTACACTTCTCTTTCTCGCATAATCGAGCAGAAACTAAAGATGCCCCAGCGACAAATTGCTGCCTTTAACCACAGTTTTTTATTCGGAAGTACAGGATGTTAAAAGTTCCGCTGAAATCTGGCTTCTTTGCTCGTATTTCCAATCTGTTGCTGTCAATATTTTGCTCCTTCAAACCCTTTACTTTCCACTTCTCGGTAAACATCTATAACTTATTGAGCTAGAAAAGTTACTAATATGAAATTGATTTTAAAGCAAATACATTATGGTCTTTTCAATTTTTATTGTGTAAGAATTGTACGCGACCCTTGTGTTGTTGCTTCAACGTAATGATCGAAACTTTACGACAAATGAGGTACATTTTGCAAAAACGCAAATTTCGGAATTTTGATTAGAGCCGAAAAAAACATTAAGTAATATTTGGTTTGTTTAACAATTACTCTCCAGAAAATGGAGAACTCTTTAAACTCTATTTGCCAGTAATTTTCTGTACACAAAAAATGTTGTATCACTTATTTCAAGGATTTTTGAATGAATCTTACAATAAAAAAATCGAAATTTTTATATGGAGCCAAAAGAGTTGTACGTGTTCTCCTGAACAGCACTCATACACGAAAATCTGCAGCTGCCTGAAGTGCAATAGCTGTGACGAGAAAAGATTTATTTTAGTCAAGCCACTCTTTGCTTCCTCTCACGGTCCTCAATGGCAATCGGCGGCTGCAGGCATCCCCGCGAGCCTCAAGGTCTTCTCTTCTTGCCGCGCGGTATATAGCAGTCGTGCGTGTGCACACCCTTCGTCGAGACTTTCGATCCAACGCGATTGCGTGCCCACCACCGCATCCACAACATGCACTTCCGATCTTCCGATTCGAGGTATACGACAGGCTGCACTCATATAATACGTGCGACGATCCACGAGTATACAGGCTATTGATTTCACTGAGAAATTTTTTTATTTTTCAGCTTGCCTCCCTCGGCTTCGAAGATTCGATCTGTATGCGTGTTAAATTGACACCGCGATTCAAGGTTTCGTCAGTCAAATGTTGAAAAATATTTTCGACGAGTGCAAGAACCACTAGTTTAAAATATGTGAATTAATAAATAATTTTTATTAACTTTCAACTCTACAAAAAAAAATCTTGCAAAAAATGTTTCATACTTGCTTCATAGCTAAGAATACTACATTTTTAATCGTTGAAAATGACGCATAAAATGAATCTTTTTAAATCCTTTTTGTCATCTTTTAAACCGTACGGAACATAACGTGGAATTAGTGCCACCTTACAAGAAATCATTCAACTATTTTCAGTGTTTTCATTGTGAAGTAAGAGTCCTTCTTTTATTCGACTAAATCTCTCATTTGCTGAATTAATCGATGCTAAAGACTATTCACATTTCAAATTTAAAAAAACAATGAAATGCATGGAAATTATTTGAGATATAAAAAAATTTAAAAAATTCAACTGAAAACTAACAAAACTGGGCAAATAGAAATGCTGAAGCAGTAAGTTTAAGTAAAAAAGTCTTATTTCCGTGATGTAAATACAATGTTCTAGATTTGTGGATAAAATTATTCAAGTTTAAAATAAAGCTCAGTGCAATATATTGCGATAAGGGTAAATTGGTTGATAGCATGCTTTACAATCATTCCGTTTCTTCATCACAACGAATAGTCGCAAGTATTTTTATGGACAATTATGCTGCAGCCTGATAAGTCGATAAGCTACCACGTGCGAGAGCTGATGCAAACACACAAGTGGTTCAGAGCGATTGTTGTTGTTATTAACGTGACAGCAGAAAGAAAACGAAAAAATGACATCTAACCTAGTTAAAATACTTGCTTTCTGTCAAGTACGATGATATCTTTGTTTTCGTCTGCTAGCTGACTGAGGGGTTTCGCGTGACGGGCCAGAGTATATACATACAAAGGTGAATGGTGACGTTGTCGATTATTGATACTTATTTTTTCCCACTGGGTTTTTCAAGTGCATTTTCAGATGATACAGCATGATTAAAATTTTTAGTTTTGTGTCGTCGAGCTTATCGAACGTACACTGGACGCTCATAATAGCGATTGTTTGTGGATTCAGTTCTTATTTATTTGCAACTGACTTTACAAACATCCAATTTTAACAGATGCAATTTTTGTTGAAAAATTTTTATAACATTTTTTTTATAACATTTTAATAACAATTGTTATAACATTTTATTCTACAATGTTTACAGGTATATAGTCCTACGTGATTCTAAAAATGATGGAAAGCTATATGAAAGATTTTAATGATTTATAAGTGTCATAATAAAATATGAGTAAACAAAGAAGACGTTTGCTACATAAGTATAAATATACCAAAGGTTTTTTCAATCGCTTGTTAAAAAGTTTATGAAAGTTCACAAAAAATCAAAATGAATTCTCTACTTCGTACTGTAACATCTATGTCTAATAGAAGACATATGTTGATTAGAGAATCTCTTCAAGCACAGCTTAACACTGCTATTATTGAAATTCAAAGTGCCCCAGGAGTTTTAGAAGGAACATCAGTTGAAGTTTGCGATGAATCACTTGCTCTATGCTCTGCGCTTGAAGCAATTTTTTTACATGGTTTAAAGGATAGTTTATTAAATAGAGTTACAGAAGTTTTAAGTGGACCAGATTATGATGCTATGCCCCAACCAAGCTTTTGGGGACCTCTATTAGTTTTTTCTCATAGACAAACAATTGATCAAATACAAACAATGACTCAAGTAAGAACTTCATCAATCTATAAAATCAAAACTATTCACTTGAATAATCAAATTTAACATTTTTCATCTAGATCACAACTGAAGTTGGATATTGCAGAGCTTGGATAAGATTAGCATTAAATGAAGGTATGTTATCAAGCTATTTAGCAGCTATTCGGCGGGACAACTCTGCTTTAAAAACATACTATGGGCGCCCTGCTTTCATCAGAGACTCAGATCTTGTTGAAGTCGCTCAAAGATTAATTGAAAGCATTGATTACATCCGTTTTGATTTGGTTTGCAATTCAAGTCTTTTAAACTTTTGGTCAAGTACTCCTTTGTTAATGGCAGCAATCTGGTCACCTCCAATGAAATCTTGTCCCGTTAACAGTGCAGTTGATATAGCAAAAACAATAAGCATTGATCGTCCTGAAGATGACCTTGAGGAAATAGAAACAGCTAGTTCCATTGGTAGCCTTAGCTCCTTTAATTCATCACAAAACAATTTAAGTGGATTTTCTGAGGATGAAGCATTTAAAATGATTCTTGCTAAAAAAACCTCTCGTCCTTCAAATCTAGCTTTGCAGGGACCTAGAAGCAGTAATAAAATGCTCAATAGTGAAAATAATAGCGCAGAACAAGCTGAAGAAGCTGTGAAACAAGAATACAAAAGTCCTAATATTTCCAACAAAAAAGAAGAAGTTCCAATTAAAGTTGATGTAACTGCATCTACTTCTAATACTGGTAACTCTTTGATCGGTAAGCAAAGCTGGTCCACGGCTCTTGAAGAAGGAGAATCGTCTATGACCACTTCGATAATTTCGAGGACTTCAGCTTCGGATGCTCAGACGCCTGCCGAAGGAGCTACTTACGATGCACTGCTCAAAAGCTACCACCAAGGAAGTTTCCAACCAGCACCAAACCTTGAGGAATTGCTGGAAAAATATCCGGCTTACGAGCCAGCTTCAACTACAAATACGGATAACATATCTCATAACTCCGAAAATGACGAATACGATAACTTTGATGAACAATTGTCAAAATTGGCCGTCGAAAAAGGATTAGATCGGCAAAACTACAATTGCTATGACTGTGCTCAATTTATTGGCATGCGTTTCGCTAAATTCAATGTTTGTGGGTTTACTGGAAAATATTTTTGTTGTAATTGCATGTCAACTGAAGAATTTTTAATACCAGCTCGAATAATACACAATTGGGATCTCAAAAAATATCCAGTTAGCAAAAAAGCTGCGACGTACCTAAAGGAATGCACAACTCTCATTAATCTCAAAACTGTTAATCCGAAGATTTATAATGCCGTTGATTCCATGGCTCAACTGCAAAGTCTTAGATTACAATTAAATTTGCTAAGAGCCTATCTTTTTACTTGTAGAGAGCCAGTTATTGAGTCTTTCCAAAAAAAACTTTCTCCAAAAAATTATTTGTATGAACATGTTCATCAGTATTCTGTACCCGATTTTGCAGACATTCTTAGTGGTATGTTAGCTCAACACCTTCAAAAAGTTGTAGAATTCGCCAATCATCATGTACACAACTGTTGGTTGTGCAGTCAAAAAGGTTTTATTTGCGAGGTGTGCAACAATCCAAAAGTTATTTATCCATTCGATATCCAATCCACTTATCGGGTAAGATACTTTTAATGAATTGTACGCATCAATCAATATGTTTGTAAACTTGAATTAATGAATATTTACTTGTTTTTTAGTGTGGATTGTGTCATGCAGTATTTCATTCTGATTGTTTAAATGCCAGTAAACCATGTCCAAAATGTGAGCGGAGACGCAAACGAATGGATTTATCATTGATAGACTTTGATAATTCAGAAATTATGAGTAAAATTGATAGTCAAAAACTTGATCTTCATAAAACGTGAAAAAAATGTATAATTTTAATTAAATTCAGTATTCTTAACATAAAAGAGAACGAAAAATTCACAAATCTGTAAAAAAGTATATGTAATTATAGTTGACTTCCATTTTCAATTGTTATGAACTAACAAAAAATAATTTTTACGAATCTTTAACTAATATTTATAACATAAATATAAGTTTATTTCGAAAGTATTTGTGATGTAAAAGTTAGATTTTAAGAAATTTTGTATTTATTTCAATTCTGGTTGAATGGAAATGATTTAATTACAAGTTTATTTTTCTCAATGAGATAGAAATATTTTATTATCATTTTGTAAATAATAATAATTATATTTGTTCAATTTATGTACAAAAGTAGTAAAATATAAAAAGCTATTTCTTACAACAAAATCCATCTTAAACAATTTTTCCTTAAATTTAATTTATACTGAACTTTACAATTAATACTGACACTCTGAGAGATTCATTAGAGAGCATATGGAAAAAGTTTAATCCTTAGATTTCATATTATTTCTACTGTGTAATATGAAATACATGTTTTTTAAGACACATCATGCTACTTTTGAAAATGCAAAAGTGTATAGTAATTGCTGTTATCTGTAATACACATTCTATCAAATATAAATATCTTCAAATTCAAAAGTGGCAAATTTTCATATTATATTTATAATGTTATCAAATTATGCAGCATATTTTCTAGATAAATTATTTTATAATATCAAAGTAATTTTCAAGTTACTAAAAAATTTGTTCACCCCTACATCAAACGGTTTTCATCATTTTTTGAAAATTTGTTTTTGTACTTCTTCAATAGTCATTTGTTAAAGTCTCATATTACACTAATTTCTTTTACTGTTAGTCCATAGCTTAATAATTCTAAATTGACAAGATATGCGTTTTATTTTATTTAGTACTTTTAACAATGTCAAAACATACTTAAAATTTTTACCCAAAATTTACATTAATCTGTACATGAAGCATTCATTGAATTCACATAAAAATCGTGAGTTATAAAAATTTACATAAAATTCGATTCAATTTAGTTATGTTCAATTGTAATTCAGATACGTGTTTGAATACACTTATGTATATTTAAAATATAAGTATAGTAAAACTATGTTCCATTGAAGTAAATACATCTTGATAAAGTTTTATAATTTTTAATATGACAGAGATTTTACTTTTTTTTACGAAGCATGTATTACAAATTTTTTTGTAGATTGATAGTATAATTAACGTTGAAGTAAAGAGAAATGAAAAAAGTAAAATATAACTACTTGGCCAATATTACATTATTGTGTTGATATGAAATAAAATCAATTTGATTTACGTGGACAAAATTTTTTGAATGATTAAATTAACTTATATTTACAAATAAAAAATTTATATCTCACACTTAAAAAATTAATATTGAATTCAGTCCTTAAGTAGACATTTAAGAATTTGTAGTTTCTATTTTCGAATATTAACTGAAGTCATACAATTTAAAAATTATATTTAATATTATTTAAGTTAAATTTTATTTTAATTAACTTTGCTAAGATTAAATTAAATATTTTTCTAAATTTGTTGTAAATGAACTGTACTTTTTGTAATCATTGATTATGCAGAGTTTTCGGAAAATAAGCAGAGGGTAACAGCGGTTTGTCAATTACTGCTCGTCTTAAACCACCCTGTAAAGTACTTCCTAGACTTTTTGATTTAGTAATACCATTAATTGCTGGTGTAGGCACATTATTGTTTTCAATTATTGCTGGCACAGAATTAGTACTGACTAAATTATTTGTTATTTTACTTTGTGAATTGGCACGTTCCATAGGTGTACTTGTACTAGAAATTTGACCAGTTTTAAAATTCATTACACCAGTATTATCAGCTACTCCAACACCAAGGGATCTAGCTGAACTTCTAGCAGTTGTTTGATTAATATTTGGATTTTGAACAATAGGATTTCGCAGTGGCAGACCGGTTAAAGTTACTGGTTGAGTTGAAGTAGCAGCAGTTGTACGAGTTTCAAATCTGTTGGACATGAATTTATTAGCCCTTGGCAAGGACAGTTGCATTGTTTGCGGCAATGTAACTGTATTAGTTGTTGCTGCGCTTTGCAGAGGCGAATTAGAATGAGTATCAGCTAATCTTCGATTAAGCCAACTAATAACATTATCATTATTTTTTATAGTCTTTTCTTTCTCTTCTAGTTGTGTCTTTAATTTTTTTACTTCTTCTTTTAGATTATCAATTTCTTTTTGAGCCTCATTACTTTCTTTGGCATAGGATTCAATTTTTATTTCTAGCTGACCAACTTCTTTTTGCTTAGTATCTAGAAGTCGCTCTTGCTCCAAAGCTATACTTGTTCTTAGTTTTAATTTTGATTTTGTTGAAGCTAGTTCACTTTGAAGCTTACCCAATATTTCATTTGCTTTCATTAATTCATCACGAAGATTTTTCAAAGATGTTTGTTTACGTTGCAATTGAGATTCTTTTTCAGATAATATTTCTTCAAGTCTTTGTTTGTTTTCTTTTGCACTTTTAATCATTTCTGTATGTTTATTTATTAAAATTATTTTATCTTTCAATTCTTGCTCTAGTACTGCAACTCTGGTGGAAAGTGCATTAACTGATTTATCTTTTTCGTGATAATCTGTATCCAGTTTGACATTATGCTTTTTAGTTGATGAGAAGTCTCTTTGCAAAAGATTTAGATCTTTTTGTAAATCTTGAATATGCTGCGATTGTTCTTTATTTGTTGATTCAAGAAGTGATAATTTATCTTTGTAATTTACATTTTGAGCTTTCAGTTCAGCAAGTTCAGTATGTAGTTGTTTGACTGTTTCACTGTGTCTGAATTCTATTTCCATTTTTTCTTTTTCAGCTTGATTTTGCCACTCTAATCTTGCTTGGAGTAATTTATCCTTTTCTAATGCTATTTGTTGAGAAAGACTCATTTGTAATTGTGTCTTTTCGGTAATAAATTTTTGTTCATACTGATCAAGTTCTCTGCATTTCATTTCCAATTTATTGCTAATTTCTGACACTCTGGTTTCTAAACTATTTATATTTCTATCTTTTTGTACAATAGCTTCCTTCAAGCTCTTTATTTTCATGGCCATATGAGTTTTTAAATCAGAATCATTAGCTGGAGCAATATTTAAACTTAAATGACATAAATGTTTAAAATTATTTGTTTCTACTAATTGGAAAGTCCAATCTCCAGCCTCTTCTGAAAGAAGTAGTAAAAATTTTGGAGCCTTTGACAAACTTGTGGCTGGTACATGACATTGCTCTAGCAAACAAATTAATTGCGTTGCAAAGTTGTCAAAGTCCACAAGAAGACCCTGTTGAGCCTTTAATACCTTGAAGTCATCATCAGTTATAAAAAGAGAGTACAGGAAGCAAGGATCATCATCGTCTGCCAAAAGTACACACAGTGCCTGCAAATAAATACATAATTAATATACTGATGATAAAATAATATTATACATAATATCATAACAATTTCTTTTTTAGTCATTATACCTCCTGCTGTATTATAAATATTATATAAATACAGAAAATGCTTGTTTACTATAACTTGAGACTAAGCATTTTTCAAATAAGTAAATTTTTTTAATAGAAAAGTATATTGACATGCTGGTCTAATGCTGTCATCACAAATGATGCTATGAAAAAATTCAAATATTAGGATTGAATGAAATAATCATTTTGACACTTTCAAGATGAAAAAGAAGTCGGGAAAAAATTAAACATAAAACTGTAAAAAGACAGATTAAGAATCTATTCGTACCTTGCGACAAACAGGACTAAGGCCAGCATGTATTTCAACGTTGACTCGGAGATCCCGTTGTCGTTCTTCCTTATGCTGGGGTTTGAGATAAACTTTCTGTATTTTGCTGTAAATAACTTCGACATTGTTGAGCTGGAGTGCAGCGTCGCTGCCGGCCACTGCACCGACCGCTATGGTGTTGAGAAAATTCATTCTCCGTTTTGCTGGAAGCCAAATTTGGAAAAAGCTTCAACTCTTCGGTAGTTGTAGCATCATCGCAGGATGATGCTCCTTATCGTTGCATTGATCGAGTGAACGCACAAATTTCATGGACAACAATTTGAAATCACAACAAACACGACAATAACAGCACCACATTTAAGTATGCACACTCGCGTTGCGAACTTTTTTCGGCGCTCGGCGTTACTGTAGTATATTTACTACAAAACAATAATGAACTGTTGCAGAGACTGCGCGAGGATACGCCGAAGCGGCTCGTCGTGAATCGCGATGGCTCGTGCTATGTATCGTCGCCGTCGCGTATCATATTATAGCGTGCGTGTGCATCAGCTCCTCGTAACTTACACACGCATGCATACACACGCGCGCACACACACACACAAGCCAACAGCTACGTTCGCGCGTAGTAACTGGTGAGATCGCGTAAAACTGACGCCGCCGAAAGTTTCTCTTTCTCCTTCTCGACTATGCAGGCTTGTTTGTTGTTGCACTTTTTATACTCCGTATACAAACTCGCCACCCGGCTCGAATGGCGCGGCAGTAGATACTACTACATAATACAAGCATAACATTGCACGCTGCGATTCCTGCCGCGAGACAGTCACAGTTGGGGCCAGAGGGGGACTATTTCAAACCATTATGGTAGTAGTGCAAACCCACACATAAACTGGTCCTAGCGTAGAGGCCGTAAGTGAGCTTACGATATTTGCGTGTTCTCGTGTCGCTTTCGCGGCGCTTCGCTCCGAATTCGCGCGCAAATCTCCTAGAATTAATTGACTCTTTCTCATCGTATAAGACGAGAGTATAAGAAATTCAAATCGCGAAAGATAATGGGTGAGCGTATAAAATTACTATTGCGGATTTTTTGAACAAATATCATTGACGATTCTAAAATTTAATACATGCCGGCCCATACCAATTATGCATTCGATAAGCTACTGAATATGTAATCGTAATTATTTCACAAATGTTGACTTCGAACACGAAATGTTTTCATTCCACATTTGCGAAAAAAGCAGAGAAATTGAAAAAACGCGCGGAAAAACGAGTTCTGACATTTACTGCTGCGGGAATAAATTTATAACGTTTAAGCATGAATTTTTATCGTTTTTCATACCTCGAAGCCGTAGAAGTATCACGAATTCCGGTAATATGAGAATTTGGTACCATGCAAATTCGAGTGTCAGAGGTCTTTTTTTCAGTTTCTTTGATTTTTTTTCATGTCGTTTGTTCTGACGCTTTCTTTGGATTATGGAAAACAGCCAAAACACCGGTTATTTTAGGTACTTCTCTTTTTATTCCTGTTAACATTAAATTAAACGTTTGAACAAATATTGCAGTTCCAGGATTATTGGGAAGTCGCCTCGAAGCGAATATTCGTAAAAGCACCGAGAGTAGTAATTGTCCGAGATACTCCAAGGGATATTTTACTCTTTGGATGAACGTATGGAAAATGGCGTCAATTGACTGCTGGGTAAGACGTGAAATGTGCAACGTATCGCGTGCTTTTTTTTGTAAATTACATCGTTGCTAAAATCATGGGGCTGTAAAATTCAGATTGACAATATGAGATTGATTTACGATCGAGCGACTAAAACAAACCGCAGCCCACCGGGTGTCGATATCAGAGTGCCCGGTTGGGGTGATCCCGGGGTGTTGGAATACTTAGATGAGTGGCATTTTGTGCCTTACTTTAAGCCGCTCGTCAGTTTTCTCGAAAACGATTTGGGATACGTACGTAACGTCTCTTTGCGTGCAGCTCCCTATGATTTTCGACGGGGACCTTGTAAGTACAATTTTATTTATTTTGCTACTATTTTGTGAGCTTTAAACCATTTTGTATGTATTTAGCTGAACAGGGAGTATTTTTTAGTAAATTTCAAGAGTTAATTGAAGAAACTTATCATAAGAACGGCAGGAAGTCTGTCGTATTGATAACTCACAGCATGGGATGCTTATTAACTTTAATATTTCTACAGTGGCAAAGTCAGGAATGGAAAAATAAATATGTAAAATCATTCGTACCTCTTAACGGGCCCTGGGCTGGGACTGTGAAATCCCTTGCAGTATTCGCGGGTTGCAATAGATTAGATGAACGATTTGCAATCAGCACAGATTTTCTGAAGCCACATTTAATCATTGCTTCCAGTTTGGCATTTTTACTTCCATCGCCATGGCTTTGGAATCCTTCGAACGTACTTGTAACCACTTCAAAATGGAATTACACCGTCAATCACATGGGCCATTTTTTGACGTATGTTGTAACGTATTTTTATTCGTCAATTTTTAACTGTCGACACAATATTAGTTTCCTAGTTGTAAAAAATTGTTTTTAATAGGGACATCGGTTTATCGATCGCTTGGGAATTTTACAAGAATAGTGAACCCTTTAAATATGATTTCCGTCCTCCAGGAGTTGAGGTACATTGTTTATACGGAGAACAATTGGATACTGTAGAGAGGTACAAAAGATGGCATTACATTAACTACAATGAAGTTGCATAACTTATCGATGCACTTATTTGAAATCGTCTTCCTCCGGATTATAGTTTTCGTTACGATAAATGTCGGACTGACAAATCCGCAATTTACTATGGAAATGGGGATGGAACAGTTAATATTAGAAGTTTGCAAGCTTGTCGTACTTGGAAAAACCATCCTAACAATTTTCATCCTTTTTACTACAAAATATTTCATAAAGTTGGACACAACGCAATAATCAAAAATAAAAATGTTTTAAAATATATTGAAAATTTGCTTCGATGAACTCAATTATTTTCACTCAAGAAAATTCTTTACTATGATCACTAGTTTTGTATGAATTGAAATAATTATTGAGTACATCTCATTTTCTAATGTATAAAGTTGAATGAATACATTATTCATAGAAATGTGTTATAAGTATATAAATCGAAAGTCTAGTAGATTGAACAATTATTTAAAAAATTAAATAAACCAAACTATTTATAATTATCTCACATTGTCCACCCATTTTCGAAAGTCGTAGCTGAAGTAACAAGAGGACCTTTGGACAAGTGCAAAATTAAAATGCAATGGTTCAATCAGCCATTTAATATTCCTAATTAACTTTAAGAATACAACGTTTGAAAAACTAAGTCTTTGTGGATTTAACAAAAGTGAAAATCTCTCTCTGTCGCCAATAAGTAGATAGCTGTGGAAAATCCACCTTCGTCGAGAGTCTTAAAAGATATTCAAGTAATCGTTTGCAAATCAATAAGGCTCAATGATTTACCAAAGTAATCTATCAGTGAATTGAATAAGCTTTCCTGTAATCTTAGATTATGGGCATTCGAAGTAACCGTGGCAAAAGATCAAGATGGGAGTTGCCATTGTCAAAACAGCTCAACAAGAAAAACTTGTAAAATATAATGATTTGCTTTGATTTAAAGCATGTTGAAAATAAAGTATTTTTAAATACAAATACATGTCAGCATTGAAACTGTGATTTATTACATCTATAATGCACGTCGTAGGCTATTCGTAGTGTTATTACATCATATCATTGTAGAGAAATGTTTTTCGGCTTGTAATTATTATATCGCGAGCGCGATAATAACCGTGTACGATTCATTGAAAAAAGTTTTCGCGTACCTTGTTAAGACTCTGACAAATGAAAGGTCGGAGCTTCGGCAAACACACAAGCGTGATAACGACGGTACGATAATCGATTAAATCACTCGATCGATGCACTCGAGAACTTTTTTTTTTAAATTCAGTTTCACGCATATGCATACACTGCACCATACGCACGAGCTAAGGGTGTCTGCGGCCAATAATGGATTTGGAAAGCACGCAGAATATTACATAATAAATAAGTATATGATTTGATGTCATTAACTTTGGAATAAGATTTTTTTTATTTATTTATTTACATCATATTAATAATATGCAACATTGAATAACACCAGATATTTAAAAAATACTGTAAAAATAAACTTATCGCTGGAACTAGCTTTGGCCGGTAGCCGCCAAGCAAATATGATATAAATCTTTGTTCGTAAGTGACTCCTCATCGAGGATCATATCACAGCACTCAATTGGCAACCGGTTCCATATTAATATCAAAAAAAATTCCAGTGCCCATTGCCGAAAGAATCGTCTCAATTGTTTCTCGCACAGATTCAAAACACAAGGTTGGATAGACGCTTCGGGGATGTACCGCCACGCTGCAGAGTTTGCCAACTTGAAGTATTCCGTATAAGTGACTAGTTTCTTTGTTTCCTCGGGGCGTAACAGAAAGAGGTCGTAGAGAGACAGCTCCGGACGTATTTTTACTTTTTTCGCTTCTCTCGCGAAGCCTATGTCCTTACACCAAGATTTTACGAGATTCGTCGACTTCTCAAACACTTCGTATTTGGTAAAAAACTTCATCATCGTGAGAGCATCTGTTTGATCTAGTTCGTATCCTCTTCTCTCTAGGCGCTCGATGATAATCAGCGCACTAGACACTTGTTTCAAATTAATACTTTTTTCAAGCCTTATCTCAAATCCCAGTCCAAAAGAGCTCGCAGGGGGAAAAAAGAAGCTAGATAGATCAGCACCATGATCCAAGAGTAAATCAACCACATCGGTCAAGAGATTCGCTACAGCTAATTGCAGCGATGTCCGACCTAAGTTGTCTTTCGCATTGACCTCTACTAACTGATTTCTGTCGTCGTTGATCTTGAAAAATGTCTTTGCCAATCCAAAATCATGTGATTCGTCGCAAATGATGTGAAGAGGAGTCAATCCCTCCTTGTTAACCACATTCGGATCGGCATCTCTTCTCAACAGCAATTTGGACACGTCATCATTTAACTTGGCCTCGGACAAGTGCAACGGTGTGTTACCCAAATTATCCTGGACGTTGACTTGCACCGGCTGGCGTCTGTTGTCACACATCTCAAATAACATCGTTGCCAAAACAAGAGAATTTTTTCCTCTTTTGCTAACAATGTGCAGAGGTGTCGATCCCTCAGCATTGACTAAATTCGGGCTGACGCCTCTCCTCAGTAGTGCTCGGACAGAGTTTTTACCATTATTGGCCAGTGCATAGTGTAGTGGCGTCCAACCTAATTTGTCCTGTGTATTGACCTGCACTATCTGCTGGTTGTCGTCGTTGATCTCGAAGAATAACTCGGCTAATTTATCGTCGTTATTTCTCTTGCAAACAACGTGCGTCGGTGTTAATCCCTCTTCATCGGCTAAATTTGAATCCGCGCCTTTTTTCAGAAGCACTCGAAGAATCTGTTTTTTACAGCCATCGGCCAGTGTATAATGTAGTGGTGTTTTTCCTATTTTGTCCTGAGCATTGATTTGCAACGTTTGATATTTTTCGTCGCAGATTTTGAAGAAGGTCTCCGCCATTTTATCACCATAGTCACTCTTGCTTAAGAAGTGCAAAGGTGTCAATCCGTCGTCGTTGGCCAAATTTGGATCGGCGCCATTTCTCAGAAGAAATTTGACCCAGTTTATGTGGCCACGACTCAGAGCCACGTGCAGCAGTGTTCTACCCAACCTGTCCTGAGCATTGACTCGCACCGGCTGATATTGATCGTTGCTGAGATCGAAAAATCTCTCCAACAACTCATCAGCATTTCTTTCCCGGCAAATTATCTGCATCGGTGTCCATCCTTCAGCGTTGGCCAAATTCGGGTCCACGCCATTTCTCAGCAGTAACCTGAACAAATCACTGCGTTCACGAGATAAGGCCACGTGTAGCAATGAGTCACCCGACTTGTCCAGAACATTGACTTGCAGCGGCTTGTATTGGTCGTGACTGAACTCGAATAACATATTCGCCAACACACAATCGTCGACGCTTTTCTTACAAATGATGTGAAGAGCCGCCAACTCGTTCGTATTGAGCAAATTTGGATCGGCTCTGTATTCCAGCAGCAATCGTAACACTTCTTTTCTATTATGAATCAGAGCCAAATGAAGCGGTGGATCCACTGAATTTTCCGTGAAGCAATTGGCATCCTGGCCAAGCTTGAGGAATTTTTCGACAACTTCGTAACATCCCGTCAAGCAAGCCACATGAAAATGTGTATACCCCAGCTCGTCGATGTAATTTACATCGAATCTATTGTATATAATAAAAAGCTTAGGGATCATCCTCCTTGAGCTTTGAATAAGCTTACCGATGACCTTCCGATCGCGTCTAGCCACATGATGCACTGGTGTAGTACGACGCAGCGATTGTCTGCCGTTTTCATCAACTTTGGGCTCGTCTTTGTAGCCGGTGTCGACCAAAAACTCAATAATTCGTTGTCCTCGATCATTTTCTATGTTTTTCACAGCTTGGGAGAGAATCCAATCAATTTCTTCGGGCTGGAAAATATCTCGAAGATTTGGAAGTAGGCCCTTCCAATTTTTGAATAAAGGGTAGAGTTGACGGAAAAAACCCTGTCGATCTTTTTCGACTTCCCAATTGACCCTTGCTCGTAACCTCTTCAATTTTTCCAAGTTTGAAAGTTGTACGCCGGATTTGTCGTTGAACTTGGACATCGTTTAACACACAGTCGTTTATAATATGGAATATTTTTTACTTTTAGTCACTTGCTATCATCTATGCGATCTTCCTTCGTAGTTAACTTTGCAGTGTCGTAACGCGAACTAATGCCAACGCGAGCAACGAGCCACGTGCACTGTACAGAGTGACGCGCTGTCAAGTAAATTGGTGCACTGAAGTCTGGACGGCCATGTGCAATATCTGCTTTCGAAAATCTAGTTTGAGTGCTCTCAAAAACAGCACCCAAACTACCCGCGAAATTCAAATTCTTAAACACGTAAATTTCATTTTTCTATTACAGGCTGCTTTAGAAGACACTGGGTTGGATTTTGTTGGATCCGTTCTGCGACTGTGATCGTACTAATTTTGATGTACCTTTGTATTTGTTAATTTATGATCAAACATTTAATTTTTTGAATTGTCGGATTTGGTCGACGCGCTTTGTGGCGTAACCAAAGGCATGTAGGCGCCGACCTATGCAAATACTCAATTAAAAGTATTTTCGAAGGATATTTTTTTCAAAATGTTTTACGTTTTTTTAACGGCTGGGGCAGGATAGGCAAAGATGTTGGGCCAGTACTATTCCCTAGACTTGTCAAGTTTTTTTAATGAATTCCGTTGAAGGACGGAAAAATTTCTCTTTTCTTACGCATTATGTCTCTGTCCTTGTTTTTACTAGCGAAGATTCCGTTTTTAAATTAAATAGATATCTGAGATTTTTTGATAGAATTATATTTTGCTTTTTCTACGTGAACAGTAAATACCTATTGAGATCTCAATTGATTACTCCTTATTAGCGGATTATAAACATTCAAAGAAATTCCCAAATAACGCATAAACATTTAAACGCAAGAGAAAAAAAAATATGCTATATTATTTTTCTGACTTGTCTCGTGCCAGGTTGCGCTAGAAACTTTTTAACCATTGTTAATGCAGACTATATTTCAGAAGCATTTTTTTCACGCAGTAAACACAGGCTGATCGTGCTATCAGATTATTCAATGTCGCGTATTCTTAAATAAAAAATAAAATGTTAATTATTTTTCCAGATGCACCCATTTGCTGAACTTGGCTGCTCGTGACATCTGCGACTGCAGTGCACTGTGCCAGTGCATTAGCAACGGCTATTAAGATACGCGCGCCACCCGATTCATGATCGGTCAGAATGCTTAATTTACTTTTACTTGCGTTTAAAAGCTTATATGCGTTTTTCGCGAATTTCTTTGAATATTTAAAATTCGCTGGTAAGAAGTAATTAATTAAGAGCTCAAGAAGTATTGTCGGCCTACTGTTAGCGTAAAAAAGGCAAAATGAGATATTATTGTGACCGAAAAATCTCAGATTATTAATTTTTTTTTAAATTCAATAACGCCAACTCCGCCATTAAAAAAAGGATGAAGATACAATCTTTTGGAAATAAAAGATTTTTCAAGTCTAGCCGCAAAAGTTCCTGTCCTCTGAAAACGTACGTAAAATTATAGAGTAGCGCCCCTAAATAACCCCGTTCGTTCATACATCAAGATCTAAACATGTAGAATGTTTCGAGCGTAAAGCGCGCGCGATAATCTAGCATAAAGAATGTAGCTCAGATCATAATTTCGGTCGAACAACTATGTATCAAATCTTATTAAGCTACTAGTGTAATATAATACTTAGTTGTAAAAATAATTTTATTGCTATTTTACAATTACAATGAAAAATGTGCGATATTAAGTGTTGTGACGTATGTTTATGCTTTTCAAGCAGACCACATTATCTGTGCAGTGTTTGTTTTAGTAATAATAGTTTAACAGTGTTAAGGACGGTTATAATATAGCATCATTTGTGATACATTGTTATAAATCGTTGATCGATTTTTTTGTTCTACAGTTGATATTAGAATGTCATATTGTTAAGACACAATTGTTATGAGGATCTAATTTGATAAACAAGTCTGCTTCAGTTTCAACGTCACTACTACATCATTATTTTCCGCAGTAATTTGAAAATTTTAAAGGTAAGCCTTCTCTTACAAAACTATCCTCCAACTACTTTCAATCAAATTATTGAGTATCTTTTAAAATTCATAATCAATACAGATATTTATCATATATTATTTGAGGTTATCTTTACGCTTTGTGCTGATGGCAAAGCAGGTTCTGGTAATGCATTTATTTTTTTTTAACACTGCGTGCGCGAAACACGGGCTTTCTAACCTTAAATCGTCAGAAAACCCTAGTTTCTCGCAAGCAGAGTTAAAAAATATCGTTTGCAACTAGTCCGCGAGGAAGTTGACTCACCCAGGAGTCTTTGCACCCTCGCTACGCTCGGGTGAAAACAACTCCTGGATGAGTCAACTGCTTCGCGCATTTGTTACAAAATATACTATTTTAAGTACATGTTGATATATTTTTGAATTAAATTTTTTATATTTTTTAAAACATCAAATGAAAATCTCAGAAATATTGTTTGGAAATATTCATTTTAGTCTGATTTCGATATTTCTTCAAAGTAACAAATTAAAAAAGAAAACATTTTTCCATATAATTGATTGTCATTAAAAAAAAAGAAAACATTTTTCCATATTGATTGCATTAAAAAAAAAAAGAAAAAATGGAACTTACAGGAAAATGAAGTATGAAAAATAAAAATAAATTTTATTCACTGCAATGATTCAATCGTATATTATGACCTTTTGTAGTAAAGAAAATCTCTGTATTACCGTCGTGTCTATAGTTGAGCAACAAGTGAAATGCAGATTCCAGTTTAATCGACCTCGAGTAATAATTTAAGTTGTTTACTAAATTAATTCATGCTTATGTTTGCTTTCGATTTCTCTGACTGATTACATTTATTTTTTTTCGATTACATTTTAGAATATATTATCGATCAAAACAAAATGTTTCAAAATTGTAATCTCGAGTAGTCTATATCCTATAGCTTCGAAAAATGACCATCTTGTGTTTCTCTGGTCGGGATGAATCATGCTTTATGTAAACGATTATGGAACGTCCAAACTGCTCCCGCATATCCTATATGAAAATCTGCGCTGTTTCCAAACTTTCTATATTCAACACAATACTGTTCACTCTACTCAGCTGGAGTAGCTACAGGTTTTGACTTGTTTATACTTGTGCGTATCTATGTTTTTCTTGCTCTTTCTCATATTCGTAGAATCATTAAATTTGCACAAGATGATGCCTTATTTGTGTAACTATATTTTAATATAAATGTAAAAAAAAATAATGTAGTTCTAATTTAGACATTTTATTTTAAAAGCTTGAAACTGTTTTTATGAATTTTTGTAAATTTTCTAATTTTTAATGTATTGACGCACTTGATATTAGTGAGTATACTCAGAACGTTCATACCTAGCAGATAGATTTGATTATTTTGTCTTGTATCGACCACAAGAAGGCTACATATAGATTTCTGTAATATTCGAAACTTTTTTTACTGAGTTGTAGTGTCCAATCTAGTAATAGCTAATGAATTTAGGAAAGATAGTCTACAATCAAATTTACAAATAAATTTTATTTTTAATGGTATTAGTCCGCCAATATAGTTTGTTTTTTATAATCAGTAGCTCACTGACTATTTCAATTGACTTTTTCTTTCGAAAAAATTTCAAAGTGACCGAAGCCTTCTTGCCTTTCGAAAAAAAATATATATATTCTTTTTGTGCACTTTTAAGTGTTTGTTTGTAAAAAAATGTAGCACGTGTGTTATGCTGTTGTTGAATGTCGAAAAACGTTGCAGACATTTTGAAAACAAGCTTATTTACTCGTCGCATTTATATATATGTTTACGAATATTTTTTATCTGCAAAATGCACAAAGTTAACTAATTTTGTCTTTATAAGATTATTCATGCGATAAATATTTTCTAGAGAAATACAAAACCAATTATTATTTACGTAAGAAAGCATGTGGCATCGCATAAATTATTAGTTCAATTGCAATAATTTTCTTTAGACTTTATTTTTAGATTCCACAGAATCCACGTAAACAAAACATATAAAGGATTCATATGAACGATCAAATACGTTTCACTCTTCAATATCACGTGATAGTATTTGTTCTTAGCAGTATATTAGTGACTCATCTCACTCAATTTTATCTTCTCTTCTTTGTTTTATTTGCCTCTAAATGAAAAAAATACTGCGCAATTTTTCGCTGAAAATTTTCATCGCACGTTTTGTTTATTTTCATTGAACAATTATTATTAAATAAATATCATTAATTGAAACAATAATAATAAATATTAACGTAAGAAGGCATCACTTTATTACCAAGGTTTCGTAAAATGGGTTCAATTTTGCTTTGACCAAGTTTGTGTTTTTTAACAAAACTGTATTAATTACAGTGTTACTTATGAATGTTGATGGTTATGATGGAACAAAATGAATGGCAAAGAATACGATGTTTTGAACAATTCTGGAGTAAAGAGCATGAGAGGAGGCGTGCGTGACGATCTGCAGGTTTCGCGTAGCAAATGGCAACAGCGCCTGCTCGTATATGTATATAATTATATGAGTGTGAGTGTGTCTGCTTGTATATGCAGTACAGTGCTCAGAAAGCTCGACCGCACGTATATAACGCACACAGACAAATTCGCACACACGCACACACATACACATAATCACTTAGGTACGTAAACACTTCTACCCTACCACTCTTATTTTCTGTCTGCTATCAAGGTTGAATGCACATACACAAACTTAGCCGGCTTTCTTTCCCATGTACCCTTGAACTATAGAACACGCATATACAGACTGTCTTTTTTTCTCTGGCTTTTTTTTACCTGTACCTGCTATTCTTTTCTTATTATTTCTATTGGATGTGATGCAGCGTATTTACTGCGTTTCTGCTATCATTCACGTGTGTTTTACATTTATAAACAGCTATCCAGTTTTACGTCAAATGATACGATACAATATTTTATTTTATTTTTATAAAAAAAAATTATTTTGGAACTTTCTTTTTAAAAAGGACAATCAAATCTCTTTTTAATGTTACGCTTTCTATTAAAAAGAATAAACAGCTTGTTTGAATAGACAATTTTATAATTGCATGTAAAAATTTTTTTACTATCAAATGTAGTAACATTTTTTATTATTTTAATATTGTCCACATAATTCCATCAACAGAAAAAAAATTATGAAGCATTAATTATATTTTTTTTAAATATATTAATTTTACAAATTGTAATTTAAAAAGAAAAGTTGAAAGTTTATGCAAATAAAACGCATAGTTTTTAATATTTAAAAATTGGAACTTATTAATTAAACTTATAAATGGAAGCAATGAACTTTTAAATTGGCGCTTTGTGTTATTTCAAAATGAAAAGTGAATAATGCAGAATCTAGTTTCTATCAAAAAAAAATTTCAAGATCATTTTTTGAACTTACGTGTATTTGAAACGACTCACAAAATGATAATTAAGATGATTCAGAATCGATAAGAAACTTATTCGTGTACATCAAATAAAAAATGAAGTTAAACAATTTTTTATTTACATACTTTTTTGGGTAGAAGAGTTTTTAATGCCTTTGTTTTAAAATAGAAAATACTCTAAATGCTAGCTTATGAATGCCTTATAAAGAATCCTTATAAACATACATCCGATTTTGGAGTCTGAAGTACGTGCTGTTCAACGCGTAACTTTTGATGCATCAGCTGTAAGCTATAATGTTTATATTGGAACCTTCATTTTAATCATATTTTATAAAATATGATTGAGCGATTTTATTTTTGGCCTTGTTTAGATTTGATGTTATTAAGTAGTATACTTTTCTTTTCTGTCTATAATAATAAAGTGTGACGTCAAAAATAGCATAGTTTTTTTATTGGGACAACTAATCAAAACACTAACAAACAGGCTTCAATAATTTTTGAATAAAAAAAATTGTCACTCAGAAATCATTTGTTCACTCGATCTTTAATGATTATTTTAATTTTTTAATCGCCATACGTCACACGCTGAACACTTCTTGACATACAAAGTCAAACCCGATCAAAAATATGCAGTGCATTCTGATAAAACCCAGACAAAGAACCACGAGGCACAATGCACGAAGTAAGCGCATCGCAAAATGAACGAGTTTTAGCTAAGAGGGGTGAAAGCGGAAGATATGGAGATAGAGAAAGAAAGACAGAGACAGAGAGTGAAAGACAAGATAGGGGAAAGGAGACTGCAATTTTACACGATGATATTTTGTGGGGGAAGAAGCCGTGCTGCAATGGCTACGTCCGTAAAGATGAGTATCTTATGTAGGTCTGAGCAACCTGTTTTAAAGCTCCTTCTTTTCTTCAGATTTGGTTGTTTTTCTGCTTCAACCATGACTTAGAAACTGCAAGTGACGCCTTCTATATGCACAGTGTATATGTGGGTGATGGTCATACACATAGAAAACTGCAAAACTAAAAAATCGATCTAACTCACCTATTATTCATAGTTTCGAACTTAATATTATTTTGAAAATTTAAAAACCCGAGAATAATAAATTAAAAAAGGAAAAGATTACTTTGAAGTAATAAATAATAATAATACATAGTAAGGAAACGTCAAAAAACATAATAAAATGATGACTTAAATTTTCTTAAAATTAATATTTTTCTGAAAAGCTTTATCACGTCAGAAGAAAAAATTACCAAATGAAATAATTTCCAAAATTATACTTATTATTTCAAAGACGTTATTGAAATTGATGTGATTTCTAAATCATAAATGATTGCAATGCAGAAATAAAATAAAGGTTTCTAATCCTTTGCTAAAAGGTCTTCTTTTAAAAAATCGTATACTGTTGAGTAAAGTTCTGTATTTTTGGTTAATATAATTTGACGTTGCAATATCTATATTACGATTTTCTACATTTTCAGAACCTTTATTGTCGAAACTAAAAATTAACATAAAAAGTTATCTTGGTTCAATTTTCAAATTTTATATGTAAACCAAGTTTGAATTTTCGTTGAACGTCATAATAAATATACACAATGTAATTAATTTATAATCGGC